ACTCTAAAGCGCAAAATAATCATGCCATTTTAGATTGGTAAAGCCATCTCCAGAGAGCAATAGATCTAATATTGTTTTATTTAGATCTAATATTGTTCACATATTTTGCTGGATGGCCATATTTCAAGTCACTTTGTTTGGAGTCATTTTATTGGGGAAAATCTATGATCATATTCATAACCAGCAGCTTCTGAGTAAAATGGAAGTGATCAATTTATCTGCTTGTAGAATAATCCATATTTCACCTCAGCAGTGCTAACATAGATCTCTTTTTTATTGACATGCTAAGCATACAGTATTGTTTGAATATGTGGCTACAGTTTTATGTAACTTAATTTTATTTTTATATTTTATGTACATAAAAATAGAGGCACTACAAACGTATTTACATTTGTATGTGTGATAGTAGCTAAACTGTTATCAAAAGAAAGTGGTTTTCATGTTGTGTGAAAAAGGTGAAAAACTTGAGTACACTGAGGCATTAAAACTGATTTTGCTTTTTAATTCTCATGTTTGGGTACTTTTTGTTAGCAACTTGTAGTATAAATAACTTAAAAATAAATAAATGCCTGAAAGTAGTTTTGCATGTCATTTACTAAGGTTTATGATTGGTTTATCTACTTTGTAAATTCATTTATATATATGGCATTCTATATATATTAAAGATATTATATATACATATATATATAATATTTTATCAAAATATCGTAACTTAATCTTCTGGTGAAACAGACTGTCGAACTTCTGCCTCAAATCAACAACTGATGGATTGAACCAATTATTTTCTTTTCAATAATCTATTCTATGTGGATATACGTCACAATACAGAAGAAAAGATCTTTTGCAACTTCCAGTACATTGCGACTTTAAATAAGTTCCCCAACACTTGTAGGAATAGTTCACCCTAAAATGAAAATTTGCTGAAAATTTACTTACATTTCCTCAGGCCATCCAAGATGTAGATGAGTTTGTTTCTTCATCAGATTTGAAGAAATGTAGCACTACATCACTTGCTTACCAATGGATTTTCTGCAGTGAATGGGTGCCGTCAGAATGAGAGTCCAAACAGCTGATAAAAACATCACAATAATCCACAAGTAATCCACACCACTCCAGTCCATCAGTTAATGTCTTGAGAAGACAAAAGCTGCGTGTTTGTAAGAAACAAATCCATCAAGACGTTTCTACTGTACTTCAAGTCCATAATATTGCTGACATTCTGTTGGCACCCATTCACTGCAGAGGATCCATCGGTTAACAAGTATAATGCAAATTTTTTCCAAATCTGTTCCCATCAAGATACAAAGGATGGCCTGAGAGTGAGTGCATTTTCATTTTGGGGTCAACTATTACTTTAAAACAACTTTACAAGAACCTTCTCAAAAATGTGATTTTACTAAAAGTACCCTAATTTATTCTTTCTGTTGAATAGCATGTGTATCACCACAGCTACTGTCACTGAAAATATAGGACAGAGACTTTAAAGGACACCTGCGTCCTTTGGGGAAAGAAAGGGTCTGTTATTCCACACAGAACTCTCTGTTGTGTGTTTGCCAAGCGCAACCTGTGTAACTACCTATTTAACCTTTCAGCCACCGACTGTATCTGACACTTCTCACACTCAAGTATAACAATGTAACAATGTGTGACAGCCACTGAGTCAATTACTGCACTTGGCAGTTCTTCATGGACATGCAGGTCTGTCATTGGTTCTGTCACGCTTATGTGCATTTACTAGACTGGCCCGAAAGCTTGTAGAATTCACTTTACATTTCCCTTCGCCTTTTGTTCCGACGTGTTCCACATGTATGTAAAACATGTCTGGGTTTAGTTACTGAAGCAATCAGAGGCTTTTTTTTTTTTTTAAAGATCCACTTGGTCTTTTCCCAAACCTCTCTGGACATCAAATCCCATGTGATTGGATAACGGTGTTCCCCAAGTATCTGTCCTGGGGCCACTATCGATTGGCTGCAATTACAAACAAATCGAAACATGATTTATTTGGACGGGAATCATTTCAATATCAGGAAAAGCCAGGGCCAATGAAGACCCCATCAATAAACCACTGCCCTCCCCCTTCTGCCTCTTTCGTTTCTCTATGTACATTCCCCACAGAGGCAATCATTCTGCAAGATGTCAATACAATCAGTCAAGCTAAAAAAAAAAAAGACAAGGCGATTGAGATATTTTGATTTTTTCACCCACCCCTCCCTCCTCCACCTTCTTTTTTTCTTCTTGTGCACTTAATTAAGTCACCAAAAGGCTGTCAAGGATAATTTTCAAAGCACAGAACCTGGTCGCACTTGACATTTGATAATATTACGCTCCATGCTGATTGAAATTGATTTTGGACGCTCACTATAACCGGCTCCTTTTGACAACTCCGAGCCAATAAACCCAAGGACAAGGGCCCCCAGTCGCTGTTGCAACTCATATCCCTACGAGTGATGGGCAGTCGGGAGCTTTAGTCAGGGAGGGGCAGCCAGGGGCCAGCAGGCGGCATCCCGTCTAGGGGTCATGGATCTGGCAACTCATAGTGTCTAATAAATCAGCACCCCTAACAGCAAGCTGGCCTTACTTTCTCTCTCTCTCTCTGTCTGAGTCAGGAAAGAGCCAGATATCTATCAGTTCTGGGGAATCTACTTTAAAACTGTAGCTGTAGTTTAGTAACTGTAACTGTAGTTTTAAAAGTACTGTAGGTAGCAATACTACAACACTACCAATAAACAGTAGTACACTGAAGCCATTTAAGGGGACAATACCTTTAAAAATGTATGGCTATTCTGTATTTGGAGTACTCATCAGGGACCAGAACAAGAAATTACGAAGATAACATTAAATTCTGAAAGCATAAATTTGTATTAATTGTATTCATTTTACGGTAGGCTAAATATAATCAATATAACTAGGTTGTGCTGCTACTGTACTTTATAATCCAAAGCTGTCCTGATTTTGAGGCCTAACTTTACAACAGTTATTTCTATACATCTTCACATCAGTTGTTGGATGTTTTGTGGCATATTAACGTCTTGTTTCCTTCATTGTGAACTCCCTTATGACAGTGCCTGGCACACATTATCTGGGGCATCTATGTTTGTTCAATTATAACGCCAGCATTTTCTCCTCTTTTAGGGTTCTAACCCGCTTTTGCTAATCGCATTTTGCCGCCTCAGGCTGTCGAAAAAATGTAACGTTTAGGATTGGGAAAATTTGCTTAATTATTTGTCTTCCTCTGTGGTATTCACAAGTAAAGTCTATCAGCTCCCTGTCTTGCAGCATGTTAGTATGGCCTACTTAAAACCATATACACTGATCTCATCTTAGATGTTTTAAATCCAGAGTGCACTGGATTACGTAGAGTTATGCAGGTTAATATAGATGCATATTATATAGTAATGCAAGCACTCTTAATAAAACAGTTAGAAATATTAATAATGGTTTGCTATTTGATGTAGAATTCAATTTTTGAGTCATTACCTTCACATTTTGATTGCATTTGTCCTCATTCGTCCTCTGTCCTCTATTTTGACTGAAGACGACATGTCCACTTCAACAGAGATCACTTCAGAGGGAACGTCCCATTCATGTTGAACCCAGGGTGAGCTGTTTCTATGATTAACTAAAATACAATGAGGTGCAGCGCTTTTGTCCTTAACCGCACAACTGACACGTAGATTTATCAGTTGGCAGTTAGGCCAACAGCAAACGCATAAAAATAAAGTATGGCTAAGACAAAGGTAATGAAAGAGTATTGTGTTCCTGCATTTAATAAACCTGAGCATATTACAGCTTAATAGCTTACCGTTTTATTTACTTCAGCTCCATGTTGACCACTTCTGTTCCAAACAAATAAGCCAAGCCATATTAACCGCAGGATACATTTTTTAACATCTCACTTGTGCTGTGTGTTAGGGAAACTACTTAAAAAACTGTAAGCTCATAATTTAAAGTAGTTAAACAACATTCAGGCTGCTATTTTGAAAAAAAAAAAAAAAGTTTACCTTTTTACCCTAAGTATTAAACTAAAACACAATTGTTTTAGTACCACAGGGGGAGCTCACAAAATACTGCAAAATAAATGGAGTATGTGCCATGTTTGATATTTATACAGCAATTTCGGAGAGGCTAGCAATAGCAATGAGCTTTGAAAGCATAAGATCACACCCTCTCAGCAAATCACTCTCCAAAGCCACGCCTCCTCCAAATTTATGAACAGCGCACAGGCAGAGCAGAGGCTAACCAGCGACACGATGAGAGACGGCGCTGGTGGAGGATTGAATGCAATGCAGTCAGATTAGCTCATGTCTCATTCACCGGTGAGAGGGTGCGCAGAGGTATGCAAATACATACTTTGAGAGGCCGGCAGGACAGCCTATCGTAGCCCTCGGACCTAGGAATATGATTGGACGAACATTTTATGGTCCTACACCTTCCACAGATGACATAAATACATTAAGACCACTTCACTTAGTGATTGCTATCAGGATGTGAAGAGACTTTCAACCAGTATGACAAAAATATTTTTAAACTAGTTCACCCACCCTGCCTTTAATTTGATCTCAAACTGATTAATTAACTGATTAGTTATCTCTCCACCACCAAATCCAATTTTTTTTGTTGTTGTTGCACCTAGTTTCATCAAAGAGTAATTAAAACAACTCAGATAAAAAAATAAAAAAACATTTAACAGAATATTTCCAAAGGTACAAATGAGAACAGACTGTTTATTAACCCATTTATTCCATGCTTTATTGTTGAAATTAAAAAAGCAAACATTTCATCACGCAGTACCGCTATGTATAAAAAAGCTGTTATGAGGAATGTTAATGCCTGTTCACACCAAAAACTATAATTATATTAATAACTATAACTAAAAAGTATAAATAATTGTTCTAATACAAGAATAGGGAAGTCGACACCACAACTATAACAATAACACAGACACAGAGGAACAATATTGTTGGAAACACTTTCAGAACGATTTTTCCCAACTGGTAAACAAAAACATTGACAGCCAATCAGAATCCAGCCGAATTTAAAGAGCTTAAGCATTTAAACCAGCAGACGACAAAACTCCAGCGAGCGCTTATAATAAACAGAATGTTATTTTGCATTGGTTTTACGCTAATATAGTCATAGTTATTGTGCTGAATGTGAACAGGCCTTACTCAGTTTAGAAAACAGCTGAACTGAAAAGTAGTTAACCTTTCGTCTGTACTGGTGTTGAGGCAAAGCAATTATTCAACGCTTAAATTACGCGTGAGGTAAATGTTTACCAGCGAAACAAAGGGATTTATTGCAGTTAGCTTATTAAATTTGTCCAAGCTAATCAAACTATTTACATTAAGTATGTATAAGTAAAGGAAATAAAATGGCAATAGAAGCCAGCTGTCAGTCACCGGGAGTCGAACAGGCCAGTTGCATTCTGATTGATCAGGTCTGAACCATGGCCTTGACAGGCGCCACGGCTGCTATCGACAGCAATCTGGTGCACTAGAGAACGAAAGAGAGAGAGAGAGAGAGAGAGCTGTCCAGCACTATTAACCTCTGGCCCTGGCGTCCTTCTAGACATCACCGCTGCAGTAATTAGGGAGTCAATCGCAATCGCATGTATCACTTAGCCTGTCGTGTCAGTCAGAGTGGCCCGTGACAGATTCATTAAGCTCCTGCCCTGCAGGTCCCCCAGTCAAACGGACCTATAAACTACTTTTAACAGGACCTCACAAATTGGAGGGGCCAAGAGCAAGGGGAGGGTGCGTTAACAGCCCAGAATAAATGCTCAAATGACAATCAGCATTGATCAGTGGGAGGAAAACGAACACTCAATGACAAGAGATCGCAGGTGAGACTGCCTTCTGGGTTATAGCAGCGCACAGGGGAATGCACACGTGCTCCAGACTTTGTACTGCTGGGATGTCAGTCTTAGGCCAGAAACATACTCTACACAAGTACGCTAACGCAAATGATGTTGAGGGTCCAAATATCTGGATAGTGAAAATGATTGTATTTTTTAATTTTTCATTGCAAATTGTATTTTATTATAATCATAACAATTTAGGTGGCTTTTTAATCAAAACATTAGCATTTGGTTTGTCCCCATTTGCTTTAATGACATCAGCACTCAGCTGACATGGACAAAAAGCAATGAAATTTGACCTTTTGTACAAAGATGTTCACATGGTCAATGTCATATTTAATTGGTGACCCAGAAATAGTACAGAATCTTACTATTTCATCCTTTAAATATATTTCATCCTCATTTTACATATACATTTTCTTCATTTTAAAATGCTCACAAATCCTAAATCTTACTTTTTACTTTGTCAAAATGTTTTTTTCAAGGTTTCAATGTGGTCTCAGAGCCTTGAGAGTACATTACATGTATTATAATGTTTAGTAGAGTTGCCTTCTGTCTTTGTCATATTGAGGTTTCTAGCTAGTTTAACTTAACTAACTAGTTGTAAGTAACTTCAACCTTAAATAACCAAGACTCTTTTCAGACTCTGTTGCTTTACCGTGACAGTATACAGCACCCCTTGTGGCAATGTTGAGAATGCGTCAAAAATTTGTATGAATTCATACGATGTGAATTATACAAAAACATAAAATTTTTAGAAAAAAGTAAGCATTAAGGTCCATCCTTAAACATAACCATCCCCGTGGCATAAGCAGATAAGCAAAAACGTATGAATGACATTGTGCGGGGTGTGCGATATTGACAAAAAATTATATCTTGATATTTTTGGGGATTTTTTTCTGGCTTTGTTTTCAACTATTTTTGTTGGCGAAACAGAAAAGAAAAAGACAATATTGTGTCTAAAGTGTAACTAACTTCTTGTTTGTTGAACTGTTGTATAAAATCAATTGCACATTCTGATCTCGCTCATGTGCTAATATTCGGGTAAACGGCACTCAAGCTTGTGTGATCTTATAACTAAGTCTGTTCATATTTTGGACCAAAATTCTAAAAAAAAATACTGTATATAAAATGCACAGACTCGACTGTTTTGCCATACTGTAAAAATGTTAATGGTAAAAGAAAAAATTGTATTTTTAATGGTAAAAGACAATAAAATGCTACTTTAAATATCTATTGGTTAATTAAAATGGTGGAAAAATGTAATAGATCTAACGGCACAGTTCATGTAGTTTTACAGTAAAATACTGTAATCTGACATTCATACAATATATTTAATATTTCATTTTAATAATTGTTTCTTGATAGTTATTTTTATCAGTTATGTACATTTGGGTTTTATGTTACATCTTGTAATATTTATTGCAGTATTTTAGTGTAATTTGTGTTGCCATGCTAATAAACATGACAGTGTTTTGTATTTATATAAATGAACCTTATATATTTATACGTCAGCTTGCTTGTGATGAACTCGTTTACCACCTTTGGCTATCAGTACATACAAAACAGATTTTAGTACTTTAGTAGGACGGTCTATAGAAAATATATCAGATTAATGAAATGTAAAGTTTTTTTTTTTTACTGTAAATTTAAGTTCAGATGCATAACATGCTAATTTTACGGAAAAGTGCTGGCAGCTGCAATTTTATTTTTACCTTCAAATGTATGTGCCATTTATTATTAGCTACTACACCAAATATGAACTAATTTTAACTTTAGTTTAACTAACATCCTTAGGATACCCTTCAAACTTTGCAGTGCCAAGACAATAGCTTATGAAAAAAAAATCTGTCAATAGAAGAAGACCGTTTATGTTGATGTTAGCTATAACACCTGAAAGTGCAATATAAACATGCTGTGTTATGCATTGCACCACATTTTGAAACACAATGCATGAAATTGTGTATCTTGTGTAGTTGTGTGTTTGCTTTCATGTACTTTTGGGTTTTGGGCCTTATTAGCTCTTTGCGATTGTTTACACGCTCTCTCTTGCTTAATTTCACACAACACTGATGCATTCTTGCTTTAATTATTGATGGGCTTTTCTTAGTGCCATTGCACTGATTACTTCTTCTTAATTAGTCAATTCTTTATCTCATACACAAAGTGCAATTAAACACAACAAGTTATTAACTCTGTCAGACAGACCATTAGTAGCGTGTGCGCGGATGTACACACGTGTGAGTTTCAGCAGCCTATGGTTCAGTCTCATTGGAGATATATGACACAAACAAACTCCATTTTGCTATACAAACACACACACGCACCAGGGTCGTGCACAGACCTTTTGAGGGGCATGTGCTGAAACTGAAAAAGGGCACCCCCCGCCCCTTTTTTTACTGGTCACATCTTAATGATAAGCGGAGAGTATAGAATACTACATTAAAAAATTAGCTAGCTAGCAAATACATGCATATTAACATCGTAAACATTAACCATGCTGTGAGTGTGACCATATATAATATGATTAAATGTTAATAAATTAAGTGTATCAGCAGATAGCCATCATAAATCAAAGAAGAATTTTCTTAGAAATATATTTTACCTAGCTGACGAGGAACACTCAGTCGCTTTGTGTCAAACTCAAATGCAGTTATGGCCGGGTTTTTGACCAGCGAATGTGTGTGCAAATGTGCAACTTGTCCATCATTAAAACGGCATCATCACATTACGTTTTGATCAACAGGTTACAAAGTTTGTTGTAGCTGTATGGGCGCTCAGTTTTTTCTGTTGTAAAATACGTTTGGCCAAAATGTCATTTTATAAAAGATGAAATGCTACTGTATGCACAGGCTATTTAAGTGTAGGCTATTGGCTATGACTAATTTAGATGGCAAATGCCCTCTCTCCGCAGGTCCAGTCTCAGCAAACTCTATTTTGCTATACAAACACACACACATAGAGCCACTTCCAAACAAACAACCCGTATCATCTCAAATGCATGGCAATTACTGTATGACCATCCTCTGCAGGGATAGGAAAGCACAAAGACAAGTAGACGTAGCTTGCGGTTCAGTTGAAAATATCCCCTGCAATTCATTTGAGAGCGAATCAGAGACATTAAGCTCAGCTGCGAGCGGAGAAGCACATAAACGGCTTTAAAATTAAAATTGAGCTTCGAATCAGCTGTCGTGATGCGTTCTTGGCAAACGTTGCTTCAGCGTTTTAGAAACAGAGCGGGGCATATCGTCCGCCAGGAACCTCTCGATTACTATTATAATTATTCACCACCTTTTAGTTGATTAACTTCTAATTGCTCCTCTGCATTCTAATGGTCCCACTCTGATCATTACAGTTATTGCCTGCCATAATTACCGGTAATGTTCTTTTCGACACACTTGTGATAATTGCCTGTAGAGAAAAGTTGTTGTTTTTATTTTATTTTATTTTTTTGGAGGTTGTCACTGTTCATGGAATTCAGACATTCAGAAACTAATGGAAAACAACATTAGAGGTCAATAACTAATAAGTCTTTGACATACAATATCATACAATAACTCATTTTCTGACTTGATTAAACATATTTGTCTTGCCACATTTTGATTTCAGCAGGGCAAATATAAATGCAGTTATAATATAAAAATCTGATTTTCTAAGTTATCTTTCATATAATATTACATAAGAACACTTTAATGCTAATAAACTAAGTGTGCTTAATGTATGATAATTGTGCGAAGGTACTTGTAGTTAAACATTGTTATTACAATGTTATTAAGTATAATAAAGATGTAATAACATTTTCATTTTGTGCTGTTGCTTTTCAGCACCACCAATAATACAATTGATAAATTATATTTTTCCCCCAAAATTTGAATAGCAATTTAATATATTGGTGGATATTCACTTACATAAGAAATATTGAATAATAATGTAACAAAAATATAATATAAAAACAAAATATAATATAAATAATATAAAATCTGCGCTGTAAAAAATATATTTTTTAAGTTAACAAAGACTAGTGGAGTACATTTTACAAGAAAATGCTATTTCAGTCTTTCTACTTCAGAATTTAATGTTTAATTCAATGTGTTATTTGTAGTTTATTTTCTTAATTGTGAAATGTTTCAAAGTCAATTTTGTTCAGTCTACATTTGTAATGTCATTTAAAATGTCATGCACTGTTAACCTGGATAATTAATTGTACATTTTAGAAAAAGAAAGAAAGAAAGAAAGAAAGAAAG